GTTTCCGAAGGGAATTACAAGTCACAACAAAGATGTATGGTGGCAAGAGAATGCCCTCCTGGTTGTTGATCTGTCGTTAACCTTCCCAGTACATCTCTGCCGTTAATAAATGAGAACGAAACAATGCGTAACAGATGGTGTTGATTGCAGTAGTTTCCCATAGGTTAGCACACTCAATGTTTATTATTCCTACTTATATGAACAAGCCCCGTTAACGGGCTCCACGCTGTTAGCCAGCAACTAGGGGAGGCAGAGGGGCCGACACACAGAAATTTGTATGTGTGTGTGGGGGGGGGGGGGGGGGCAGTCAGCTCTACAAATATTACATGAGTGCTGTAGAAGGGATGCTGGGGAGAGGGGTACTCATGTGGTTTAATCTATGTTTATATGCCTCAAAGTAGTAGTAGTAGTAGTAGTAGTAGTAGTAGTAGTAGTAGTAGTAGTAGTAGTAGTAGTAGTAGTAGTAGTAGTAGTAGTAGTAGTAGTAGCAGCAGCAGCAGTAGCAGTAATAGTAGTAGAAGCAGTAATAGTAATAGTAGTAGAGTAGTTGTAGCAGTAGTAGTAATAGAAGCAGTAGAAGCAGTAGTAGTAATGGTAGTAGTAGCAGCAGCAGCAGCAGTTGGCTAGATGTTGGCGTAGTAGTAGTAACAGTAACAGTAATAGTAGTAGTAGTAGTAGTAGTAGTAGTAGTAGTAGTAGTAGTAGTAGCAGCAGCAGCAGCAGCAGTAGTAGTAGTAGTAGTAGTAGTAGTAGTAGTAGTAGTAGTAGTAGTAGTAGTAGTAGTAGTAGGAGTAGTAGTAGTAGTAGTAGTAGTAGTAGCAGTAGTAGTAGTAGTAGTAGTAGTAGTAGTAGTAGTAGTAGTAGTAGTAGTAGTAGTAGTAGTAGTAGTAGTAGTAATAGGAGCAGCGGCAGCAGTAGTAGTAGTAGTAGTAGTAGTAGTAGTAGTAGTAGTAGTAGTAGTAGTAGTAGTAGTAGTAGTAGTAGTAGTAGGAGGAGGAGGAGCAGCAGCAGCAGCAGCAGTAGTAGTAGTAGTAGTAGTAGTAGTAGTAGTAGTAGTAGTAGTAGTAGTAGTAGTAGTAGTAGTAGTAGTAGTTATTTTGGGTAGGAGAGCCCTCTCCCCCATTTTTTTAAATTGTTTCCCTTTTCCCTTCTCCTAAAAAAAGTGTGTGGGGGGGGGGAAGGGGGGGGGGCTTAAAGGTGCCTAAATCCCACTAGTCTGGGTGCCTCTGGGACAGGATGTCTGTGAACTGAACCGTTAGCGATAACCTGATAAAATAAGGTCATGGCGGTGTTATCTTGAGGTGTTGTATTATGACACATGCATGATCCTTTTTATTTAGTTAGTTGTGTATTTTTTACAAGACCGGGCGATCTGGCCGACGATCAACACTCAGTGGAAAGGCGAGACCGATGTACAATCAGACTGTTACTGATAGCATCGGAATTGGACCTCTTGATGCCAGAGATGGGGACAGTGCGCTTATGGAGTGCTGTGATGTCAATTCTTAATTAAACCTACAGACTTTGCAGAACCAAACATCCGCATTTGGTGTCGCTGTTGCTGCGGCAGCTGCGGCGGCGGTGGTGGCTGTTGCTGCTGCTGCTTCTTCTTCTTCTTCTTCTTCTTCTTCTTCTTCTTCTTCTTCTTCTTCTTCTTCTTCTTCTTCTTCTTCTTCTTCTCCTTCTTCTTTTTCGTCTTCTTCTTCTGCTACTGCTGCTGCTTTTTCTTCTTCCACCTCTTCTTATTATTATTATCATTATTATTATTATTATTTTCTTCTTCCTCCTCCTCCTCCTCCTCCTCCTCCACGTTTTCCCCATTTAATAATATATTTATATGCCTGGTAGTTTCTTGCTGTAGAAAATTTCGTCGCCCAGCTACAGGGTTGAGTGGATAGAGGGACACTGTGAGCAGCGGATTTCATCTGGTATCCTTTTAGACTGTTCTTAGTGTGGTTTGCGCTCTGAACTGCAGATATGGGGAAAAAGCGAGTGGTCTATTGTCACAGAATTGATAGCGTTTTATGCGATTAATTGCCTGTGCAACTGCTGATTTGATGCAACTGCTGTTTTCGTCGACGATTAACTGCATTTATTGTGCTGGACTGTTTGTGTTAGTACTTCTGACGACTGTCTTATGCATTTAATGTGTGTGCGTGGTGGTGTGTGTTTGTGCTGCTGGCTTTGCTGAGACTAGTCTATGCCAACTGTTTCACAAGGGACAATGTTGGACATTCAGTGTGGTTTTCGTTGGCATAGGAATGTAGCAACTATGGGGTGGCCCTTTTGCTGTGATGCTGGAAAGGCAACTACCTGATTACCTGGTTTGGGGTGGGGGGGGGGGGGATTTCTTTTGTATTTTAGACACATGCTGGAGATATTTACTGCCCGTGTCACATTACAGTTAGCGTTTATGACAAGAATTGTTTGTCAATAGACGTTTTGCCACGACAAGAACATTGTACAGGTCGCCAAAGAGTACAATAAACCCTTCTCATTGTTCGCATTCACCTCATGTAAACTTGGGCGGAAAGTTCTAGTTGTTCGTCCACCTCTGGGGCATCTCTCTTTTGTCTTGTTCCAGAATTTGACTGTTGCGTGTACATATCGTTTACAGATCTAGCTTATGTGTAAACAGTCTTGTTTCCTTGCCTCTCCGGCAGAAGCACTTCAACTTCAAAGGAAGCACCCAGTTAGCCGACTCTTACGACATGCTTGGGGGAGGGGGTGAAGCAGTGGGTCTATTCTTGTTTTCACCAACGATGGGGTCCCAGAACCCACACATGACGCAAATGAATTAAGAACTAGTGTATTCGGTCGCGGCAGGCTGAGGGAGATGCTGATGGTGAATTAATGCGCTTAAGGGCTTGCCCGATATGCGATAAGGATGACCGGTCGAGTAAATAAATAAGCAACTATATATGACAGCAATTGTAGGTAATTAATGTATGTGCACGTAGCGTGGCTAAGCCATGGAAGCTTTATATACACATTTTTGAAAAAAAGGAATGATTGCAATCGAGTCGGGCTGATCTCAAGAAATGAATTGACTAAAACTTTGACTAGGAAACTTTCCTTACGTCCTTTTTAGGACGCAATTTTTTTATTATTTCAAGCCCCACTCTGGCTTTTGCCAGGGGCCGCAATATAGGCAGGCCATCAATATGGTCAATTGTCTGAGCGCGGTTTCTGGGACCTCATCCGCATGGTGGCACTTTGTGTCATCGGGTGTTTATCGCTCGTGTGATGTCCTAGTGGGGTAAAAAGTCAGTCAGTCAGTCTAGAAAACTCAACAGCTAGAAAGAGAGACACTTAGAGAAAGAGAGAGCGAGAGAGCGAGAGAGAGAGAGTAAGACAAAGAGAGAGACAAAGAGCGAGTCAAAGACAGAGTAAGACAAAGAGAGAGACAAAGAGAGGCGAGAAAGGAGATGCATAGAGAGACAAAGAGAGGCGAGAAAGGAGATGCATAGAGAGACAAAGAGAGGCGAGAAAGGAGATGCATAGAGAGACAAAGACACAGAGAGACAAAGACAGAGAGTGACCAGAGAGGAGAGACAGAAATGTAAAGATATATCGTTTGATGTGAATTCTTCATCGATAAATTAAAACAACACAGAAACTGGTACACGCTTACAAAAATGTCAGGTACGAAAGGCACACTAGACGTACAAGAATCACTTCACCCAATATAGAACTGGCACTACTAACCATTGGACGCCGATGTGAATGTTGAGCAGTATCCTGAAGATTATCCAACTCGTAACATACACGACGAAGCTGCAAAACAATGAGTGCTGGAGACAGTGATCGGTGTTCGAACCCCAGAAGTGCAGTGACGATGCATTACCAATGTGTATGTGTAAGCGGAGAGTGTATCACGTGACATTTTCATCTTGGTCGCTTAGCTGCTGAGAGTATGCATGCGCAACTAGCATCAAAGTACATGTAGCGCAGCAAATTTGTGTCTCCCCCCCCCCCTCCCAACCCCCGCTATGTTTGAGATGGGGAGTCCCCGGAAGGTCGTGGGTTCGCTCCCTGGCGGAGCCGGACTTTTTAAAAAATTTAACTTGGCTTCCAGGTCGACCCAGCCTTGAGTGGGTACCTGGTGCAGTCCCGGAAAGTAGAAGCAGCCGGCGTAATGCTGACCACATCACCCATTTTGTGCCGAATGGTCTATAAAAATATAGGTCTAGCCCTATACGCCTAAAGGCGTGGAAAAGGGTCCTTTACTTTTTTTTTAAATATTCGAGATGCAAACTGAGTGGCATATTTGTAATAAGTAGTAAGCAGTAATAATAAATAGTACAATCCTGCACTTTTCTGTGGCAATGGTGTGTTGAGTGTAGTGTGTTGAGAGTAGCCTTACATTGACAGTAGCCTGTGTGTTGGGAGTAGCCTTACATTGACTGTGCCCTGTCAGTTGAGAGCCGCCCTACATTTACAGTAGCCGGTGTGTTGAGATAGTAGCCTTAATTTGATTTGGCCTGTGTGTTGAGATAGTAGCCTTACATTGATTTGGCCTGTGTGTTGAGAATAGCCTTACATTGATGGTAGCCTGTGTGTTGAGAGTAACCTCACGTTGACTGTGGCCTGTGTGTTGAGAGTAGTTTTACATTGATTGTGGCCTGTGTGTTGAGAGTAGCCCTAAATTGACAGAAGCCTGTGTTTTGAAAGTAGCCTTACACTGACAGTAGCCAGTGTGTTCAGAGTAGCCTTACATTAATTGTGGCCTGTGTGTTGAGACTAACCTTATAATGACAGGAGCCTGTGTGTTGAGATTAACCTTATAATGACAGGAGCCTGTGTTCAGAGTAGCCTTACATTGACAGTAGCCTGTGTGTTGAGAGTAGCCCTACATCGACAGTAGCCTGTGTGTTGAGAGTAGCCTTACACTGACAGTAGCTGTGTATTCAGACTAACCTTTTACTGACTGTGGCCTGTGTGTTGAGAATACCCTTCATTGACTGTGGACTGTGTGTTGAGAATAACCCTGCATTGAC